CAGTGAAGGCTACAATTCTTGATCTTCACCAGCAAGTGCTTCAACCCCTGCTCACTTTCAACAAGAAATGTGTGTTATCTGCATAGCATAGACTGTTAATCAGCCTTCTTACAATCTTGATGCCACACTTTTCTTCATATAATCCAGATCTCTGGTGATTTGCTCAACATACAGATTGAACAATTACGGTAAGATAAAACCCTGACACAGCCTTTCTGATTTTAAACTATTCAGTCTTCCCTTGTTCTGTTAGCACAAGTGCTCTGTGATCCATACACAAGTTCTTCATGAGCACAATGAATGAAGAATTCTGGAAGTCCCATTTTTTGCAAGATGCTGCAGAGTTTGATATGGTCCACATAGTTTAATGCCTTGGTATAGTCAATAAAACACAAGTAAACATCTTTCTCGTTTTCTCTGCTTTGAGCCAAGATTCATTTGACATCAGAAATGATATCCCTTGTTCCACATCCTCTTTTGAATCTGGTCGGAAGCTCTGGCAGCTCCCTGTCAATGTACTGCTGCAACCATTGGATGATTTTCAGAAAAATTTTACTTGCATGTGATTATCAATCTATAGTTTGAGCATTCTATTGGGTCACTTTTCTTTAGAATGGGCACAAATATGGTTCTCTTACAGTCAGTTGGCCAAGTAGCTTTCTTCCAAATTTCCTGGCATAGAGAGAATCCTTCCAGTGCTTCATCAGTCTGTTGAAACATTTCAGCGGGTATTCCATCAACTCCTGGGGCCTTGTTTTGGACTGATGCATTCAATGAACTTCAACCTCTTGCCTCAGCACTTGCCCCTATGCTACCCTTGTGAAATGGTGGAGTGTCTACCCATTCACTTTTGTACAGCAAATGTGTATTCTATCTTCTTCTAATATGTCCTGCATCATTCAGTATTTTGCTCAGAGAATCTTTCAATCTTGCAACTCAAATCATGAATTTTTTTCTTTAGTTCTTTCAGTTTAAGAACTGCTGAAAGTGTTTGTCCCTTTTGGTTTTCTAATTTGGGGTATTTGCACATTTCATTATAGTATCTGGCTTTTGTCTTCTCCCGCTGTCCTTTGAAATTTTCTATTTAGCTCTTTGACATCTTCATTTCTTCCACTTGCTTTCTATACTCTATGGTTACGTTTCTGAGTCTGTTCTGACATCCACGTTGATCTTTTTGCTTTCATGTTTAATTAATGATCTTTTTTTTTTCTTCATGAATGACAGTCTTGATGTTCTCCCACAACCCATTTAGTCTTCTTTCATTAGGGTTCAATGCATCAACTCTGTTCTTGAAATGTTCTCAAAATTCAGGTGAGATACACTTAAGGTTGTTGTATTTTGTCTTTCATGAATTTGTTTAAATTTTCTTCAGCTTTATCCTGAACTTACTTATGAGCAATTGATGATCTGTTCTACAGTCAGCCCCTGGATTGGTTTTAGCTATTGATATTGAGCTTTTTCACAGTCTGTTTCCACAGATGCATTCAATTTGATTTCTGTGGATTCCATCTGGAGAAGTCCATGCATTTAGCTGCCCTTTGTGTTATTGAAAAAAAAGTATTTTCTATGAACAAGTCTTGGTTTTACAAAATTTTATGTGATCTCCAGCTTTTTTTTAATTAAAATCATTTTATTGGGGGTTCGTACAACTCATCACAATCCATCCATCCATCCTTTGTGTGTCAAGCACATTTGTACATTTGTTGCCATCATCATTCTCAAAACATCTGCTTTCTAGTTGAGCCCTTAGTATCAGCTCCTTATTTTTCCCCTCCCTCCCCGCCACCCCTCCCTCATGAACCCTTGATAATTTATAAATTATTATTTTTTCATGTCTTACACTG